CATGGTGTAAGAAAGCTGATGTGTGTATTTAGCATTTCTAATGTTTGAATGTGTAGCCAGACAGACAATTCCACAAATCCAGAATTCATAGATTCCTATCATTCAGATTAAAGGAACCTAAAACCCTGATGATTAACCCTTTCTTCAACCACCACACCACAGTTATAACTGACTCTCCACAGTGATTTACACAAACCCATCAGAATCAGTATTCACTCTTTTTCAATTATTATTATTATTTCTCTGCATTTCTACAATTCCTAGCAGACGCTTTTATCTAAAGCAACATACATCAGAGAGTAAGTAAAACACAAACAAGGATCTATAAAAAAGGAAACAATGTCAGTAAGAGCAAACAAACAGCTTTAAGTCTGATCAGACACACAGGTGCTGACAGGCAAAGCACAACCTCAACAGCTTATTGTAACAATAAAATCAAGTACCTTAGTCACAGTGACACCATGATGATTTCAGATTTGAAGTTTACTGTAGTGACCAATTTTAACCAATCCAATATTGTCTAAAAAAAAGTCACTTGAGGGATGAATATGGAAGATATTTAGGATTTGTGCTCAGCTCTAAGGATGAAACGATGTCCCACTGCATCCATATGCTAAATAATAGACAAATCTGGTATATTAAATAAAATCAGGCTCACCTCTGACAGGCTGCCAGGGTTGAAAACTATTCATTCACCTGCTACCATCACCTGGAGCACAGAATCAGCTCAGGCTCCACACGGTGTCCAGTAAAGGGATTACACACACACACACATACCCAAAGGAAAACTAAAGGGCAAAACATAAACCACATTTTGGCGCCAACAATTTCTATAAAAACAAAGTATCCTTAAGTGTGTTCTTTTTGTAACATCATCACAACATAGTACTTTTTTTGTCCTCCTTCTTTACCATCTGCAGCTGAAAACCTTTTCCACCACTTTACTATCAAGATGAGAATAATTATGTTCATAACAATAAAATGAAATAAATGGAAACCTTGTTGTTTAATGTGTTTCTGATTTTACTTTACTCACTTGATGAGGCAGTTCAGGCTGATGTTTCTCTGAAGAGAAATAAAAAATAAAAAGTTAATAAATCTTCACAAACCTTAAAGGCCATGCTTGACGTCAGCCTCAGATCAGAAATACAATATTTTATTATTTGACATAACAAAGGTCAGTGGCTAATGTTACAATTTACAATTTCATTTAGCAGACGCAGACGAATAAATCTGGCATTAAACTGAAAAGTCCAGAGGTCTGTACTACGAAGCAGGATTTGGGGTTAGCGAGGTAACTTCAGGGTTAACCCTGGGTTTTCAGTCCTACGAAGGTGGTTCACTTCTAACCTGGGTATATCACCACGGTAACCTATGCTGCACATCTAACCTGCTGCACACCTAAAATCTCGCCACTGAACAGTCAGATCTCTTGATCTTGGAGCTCCCGCAGCTGATCGAGAGAGCGGAGGAGGGAGAGAGACCGACCAACACTTCATGTGTCCCGTATGATTTTACATTTGTCTTGAACTTCTTATTTTTAATTTAGTTCAGAGTTTGTTGGATATAACGATCTGCTGACGGCAGACGCAGTGATGATTGTGATTGGTTAAATTAAGCTAACTCCGCCACTTTTATATGATTGGAAAATTAACCCACGTATAAAACAGGTTTGTTATCTTGTGTAAACAAAATAATTTATTTGTGATCTCGTTACTTTTTTGTAATTGTGAAATATCAAATATCTTTAAACATAAATGTGTGTAATGTGGCAGTGTTTGTTTTCTTTCTCTCACCTTGAAGTCCTGAGTCTGTCCCCATCAGCCTCTCAACTAGATCAGTCCTGTTCATGTCCAATAAAACCTCTTTGGTCACCTCCACAGGCTGCTGGTTCCTCACCATCAGATGCACCAGTTTATCTGGAGTTGTTGCCGACTTCATGTCGTGCCACTGGATTTGTGTAAAACTCCTCTGGAAGTATGTGAGCTGCAGCACCCACTTAAATTTCTCAAACTCCTCAAGTTTCAAACCACTCAATGTTTCCGAAAGAACATGTTCCACATCTTCCTTTACCGTCTAAAAATATCAAAGACAATAAACAAATTAGTCATTTCTCCAATGGTAAAATCAAAAAGGAACATCTCTGGGGATTTAATCAGAGATGTAGGGAAGTTATCGGAATACTTTCTCCATGATCACTCGAGATTAATACAATAGGTAAAATTTTTTATTGGCTATGTTACAGGTTTTTTAAAAAATTTTTTAAGTTTGTATTTTGTGTAGCAACATAACATAGAAGATCCCTCTATACCTTCACCCTTAAATCTCTGTTAAACTGAATACAACTACATGATTTAATGCAACATGTGAAATCTTCCACAGCACTTAACATGAAGCATTTCCTTTAAAACACCTGAAATACAGAACTCAAATACTACAGAGCTGAACTTTACAACCAATTATATCCATTTGTTTTGGTTTGTATCATAATTTGCAATGTTCAAAGACTTGGATGTTTTTTAATCTGCATCAGACAAATCAGGCTGTGAAATGTAAAAAACGGACTCACTTTTTCAAAGACTGAAGGTTGATGCTCATCCACTGAGGAGAAAAGACATTTGTGACTACGACGACTTATTTTAATGAGACGTTGATCTACTTTAATAAAGTTCAGCTGCTTTACAAGGTAACAACATAACCTAAAGAAATCAAATTCAACAAATGTATTAATCTTATTTATCAAAGATTTGTTTTGTTCTTATTTGTCTTACCTTTGGGTTCTGAGCTAGTCTCTGAAAACATCTGCATGAGATCAACTCTGTGCAACTTCTTTAAAATCTTTCTGGTCTCATCCACAGACTGTCGCCCGTAGGTCTGCACCATCACATCCAATATTTCTGTACGGTCGTATTGGTATCTCAAAAGACGTGGGCTGTCTTTGAAGTCCTTTTGAAAGGCCAACTGCAGAAACTTCATGAATTTCCTGAACTCCCCGTCATTTAAAGAATGCAGGATTTCCAAAAGCAGCTCTTTAACAGCTGCCATTGTTGCTGCCTGGAATAGTTAACACACTCATGGGACATTTGCTTAATCAACTAGGACAATTTTAAATGTGTCTCTTAAGGTGTTGAGCTGGGTGTTTCTGACAGATATTCTTTTTATTATATTGATTATTGTTGAAGGAAAAAGTCAGAAAAAGATTATGTGCTGACATTTCATCTCATAAGCACTGTCAAAGATATTTATGAATCTGCTGCACAACATTACTGCTAAAACGCTCAACCTGAATAAAGCTTCAGCTTTGTGAAAAACAGATTAATTCAAATTTCATCAAATTTCATCAAAATGTTCATGTTCATGTGTAAATCAGACAGATGTGAAGTGATTACTCACTTTCTCCAACAGGACAGAGCGTGGTTCATCTGAGCGTTTCTCTGAGGAAAAAAGTGGAAAAAATAACTCATGAGAGATTGATCTTAAACATGACAAAGATGTTATCAGGCAAAATAGTTTAGTAATGATTTGTGAGGTACAACATAAGTCAAAAAGATATATTGGTAAACCAACTGATAAGTCTTAATATCTGTGCACTATGAATCTTATTATAAATCATGTAACAGATACAGATGTAACTTAAACACTTGTGAAATAGGTTGAGAGACAGTTTTATGATTTTAAATGATCTTGGTCTTCATGGTCATACTTTTGAAACTTGAGCTGGTCTCCAACAACTTCTGCACCAGATCAGTTCTGTTCATCTTCTTTAAAATCTTCATCGTCTTCACAACAGAGTTTTGACCAAAAGTCAAAACTGTAACACACGCAGTGTCCTGATGGTTTGTCTGCCACAGCAAACGAGGGATGTATGATATACATGTTTTGTAGCCTTCATTTCTGATCAACTGCTTGAATTCCTCATACTGGTTTTCTGTTAGGCAAGCCATAATTTCCACAAGCAGTTCTATAACAGATGTCATCTTTTCCACCTGAAAAATTAAAAGAACATGTTCAAGGTGCAAAAAATGAGTACAGATATTTCTTTTCACATTTCATCAATTGTCTTTTTTAAGACTGACCAACGTACATCTGCCACTTGAACAGTGGTTATCATACTATAGTTATGTTTACATTCAAGTACTTTACTTTTTTTACAAACAGCTTATATTTCTGCATTGAGTAACATACGGTTGTTACCTTTGATTTTCTTTTTTAAGATTTATTTTTGGGCTTTTTGTACCTTTAATAGATAGACAGGACAGTGGATAGAGTCAGAAATCAGGGAGAGAGAGAGAGTGGGGAATGAGGGAAAGGAGCCACAGGTCGGATTTGAACCTGGGTCACCCGCTTGGAGGAACCAAACCGCCGTACATGGGGCGCTCGCACTAACCACTGCGTCCCTACCTTTAATTTTCTATTAAGTTTTTGTTTAATTCTAATTCCATGGTGTACATGTGTCTAAATCTGTGCAATGAAAATCAGATAACTGTATGAATCTTCCAAGAGAGTGTCTGTTAAAGGGGCGGAGCAAGGGGTGGCCAGCCCAGGAGGGACCTATGTTTAAATCATCTTTTTGTGCTGATAGTAGTATGTGCACTTTCTTTGTATGTCAATGTAACACATTTCATTTTGCTAGTATTTTAAAGGCAGAAAATGTGATTTTTTTTGATCCAGCAGATGTCGCCTTTGAGCACCAGCATGAAACCAAAACAACTTGCACTGCATTGTTGTGTTAGCATGCTAATGCTAGCGATTTTTATTATGATCGTATCTTCACACTGCATGTAAATTTACCTACGTGATCTAGAAACGTAGTTAAGCAGTGAGTACAGTATGTTATTCTTCTTTTCTCTAGTCCCTCAATTAAACAACTTTTATACGCGAGGGGATGAGTCGGCCGGCCGTCCTGGCGATGTAAACAAACTGAAGATAGGACTCGGAAAGCTCGGAAAACATCACAGACAGCGGGACTCGGGTGTTACACCCATTGTAGACAGTCATGACTCACAGAGTTATTTTCAGAGGATTGATTTCTGCTACATTTAAGTGTGAAAAATTGCATATTAAGCCTTTTAAGGAAGAATGTGTGACATTTTACACATAAATACAGCAGAAATCAAGTATATCCTGTAAATGTCTGTTTGAGTTGTGACTGTCTGCAATGAGTGAGAAGCTCGAGTCCTGCTGGCTGTGTTGTTGTCGGGGTTGTGTTTACATCATGTTTACATGGACGGGACGGCCTTGTGCATAAAGCTGTTTAAGTCGAGGTCGAGAGAAAAGAAGAAGAATTTACTCACTGCTTATTTGGATTTCAAGTAAGTGTGTTTAGAACTCGGTCATTCTGTGTCAATTTATGTTTAATGTGAAGCTACGAGCTAAGTAAAGTGTGCTAACATTAGCCTGCTAACACAACAATGCAGACCACAGGCAAGTGCAGCTCGAGCAAAGGACAAGTTTGTCCGCCACTTGCACTTAGTGGTTGTTAATGCTTTGAATTGCCCCCGGGGACAAGTAACGTTTTTTTAATTTAATTCATTTTTTTTTATGGTGTGTTCTAATTCCTAACCCCTTCATGGGAGGCGAGTGGAGAGGTGTCGTAGGTGTGCTGCTGGAGGAGAGCAGAGGATTCAGAATGGCAGAGATGTTGCCAAACAGCAGTTTGTTTTGGTTTAATGCTGGTGCTCAAGGACGACATCTACTGCATAAAGAAAGTCGCACATTCATCCTTTAAATTGGATCTTCCTTTTGAGTGCTTAGAGAAATAAACTAAGATTTAAATGTTTTAATCTCTTTTTAAAGTAAAATAAATAAATAAATATTCAGGAATATAACATCATATAACATGTGATACTTAAATGTAAGGAGTTAAAGAAGATATGATTAGTGGAGATAGAAAGGGAAAATAAATGCTGTTTATTCAGAGAAAAGAAGAACAACACACTCACTGCTTATGTGGATTTCACCTAAGTGTCTTTAGATCACCTTCATTCTGTCAATTTATGTGCAGTATGAAGCTACGAGTTAACCAAAGTGTGCTAACATTAGCCTGCTAAAAACAATGCAGATTCGAAGATAGAATATTTAAATGTTTTAATGTCTTTTTAAAGTAAAATAAATAAATAAATATTCAGGAATATAACATCATATAACATGTGATACTTAAATGTAAGTAGTTAAAGAAGATATGATTAGTGGAGATATAAAGGGAAAATAAATGCTATTGATTCAGTGTACTTTGCTTTATCAGCTCTTTGAGAAAATATTGATTAAAACAGCTCAATGTTACTTAAAGGATCATATTTTTTTATCAGCATTAAATAAATAACGTTAGTTTTTGTACCTTTAATTGAAATGTTCGAGGTGGACTCTATAACAGTGACGCTGTGTGAAGTCAGAGTGATGTGACATACTCACCCTCTGGGTCAGTGATAGAGTGTTCTCCATAGAGTGTTCTTCTGAGGAAAAAATAAATGCAAAAGAAAACCAATTTTATTTCTATCCCTCTTTCTGCATCTCCCTCTATCCCACTTTCCAAACCCAACACAGATTCAGCAGACGGCTGTTCATCATGAGTCTGGTTCCGCTCGAGGTTTCTGCTCTTAAAGGATTTTTTCCTTTCCACTGTAACTTTGCTAATTCAATTCAAAGGCACACAGAGCAGTAAATGTTTCTTGGTGCTCGTGATGGATTAATGTTGGGTCTTTGTAGATAATATAACAAAGAGTAAGATATTTACCTGCTCTTTTTGTAAAGTGACTGTTTTGCTTTCCTCATTAATTGAAATATAGAACTTTTAAAATGCCTTGACTGTATTGTGTGAAGACTTTGTGTTTGTCTCACTTTCGGACTCCCGTCTGTCGCCAAGCAATCTCTTCACGAGATCAGTCTTGTTCATCTTCTTTAAGATATTTCTGGTCAACTTCACACACTCCTCCTTGCTGTATCTCTTCACCATCAGCTCCTCTATTTTCTCTGGGCATATTGATTTTAGATCGAGTTCTGAGAGGAGGGGGACACCTTTCTCCAAATCAACATGTAGGCAGAAATCCTCAAGCTCCCCAGAACTCAAATGTTCCAATGTTTTAGACAGCCTCCTACGTGTCGTCATTTTTTTAAGCTGGAAAACAAAAGATAACATCACAGAATACACAGATTATGATGAGTGCCATTTACAGAACGATTGATATTTACATGTTTGAAATGAAATCAATACAAAATGATCAAGTTAAATTAAGTATTATGTAGTTGTATCAATAACTTCACAAACTCTGATTAAATATTTTAAAAAATTATCTCGTATTCTTTCATTAGAGAAAACACATTTGAAACATTTTTACTGGTATTGATGGGTCACTCAGTAGTTATTCATCAAAGGCTGCGGCCTTCAGGTTTCTCTAGATCCATTTGTAAATCGTATTCATGACTTACAAGCATTACATGGCCAGTTGCCAGTTTACCTCAGTGAGAAGTTGTCTGGATGAGCCTGCTTCACCTGTTCATCATTTTTGGTTTGGGTTGGGTTAAGCTTTGGTTCGCTCTCAAAAATATTTCAAGGGCTTAGTAAATGTAACAGTAATATAAAGGAATTATTGTTTAAAAAATATGACTGAACATCATTATGATGAGTATTTGGGTTAACTATATCAAAATGTATGAGTAAAAATGAAACAGAAATCTTTGTGTGAAATGTAAATATATAAAGTAAGTTTATTTAATTAAAAAAAAGTATGACCTGACTGACAGATTACATTGTTTAAATATTTTATAACAATTACTGTATGTTTCATCGATATTTTTGAGAATAAACTATGAATAGCAATCAGTTTAAAGAACTACAATTATTAGACAATTTAACTTCATATTATTTGTAATTTGACTAATCTACTTTTTTTTTTTTTAAAGTACTCCGGCGGAAGTGACGACATCATTCGGTCCGGTTCACACCATAGACTGTAAAAATAATGTTTGCCCCACACACACAAATAAAAACAGTACCGGTAGGTTTAGCTCCGTAAGCAGCAATGGCATGTGTGCCACGGAAACAAATAACCACTGTTACACGAGTATGTATGTCTGTCTGTGAATGGCTCAGTGCGCATGTGTGTGGGTGGGGGGAGCGAGTGAGGAGAGAGAGAACGAAGCGAGTGTGTTCGGCAGGTGTGTGCGAGCTCACAGCTTCCTGGTTCAATGTACGCTGATAATTTTGACATTTAGATAAAACCCTTAATATTTGCAGTCTAAAACTCCATTCTAGATGTTACTTAGCCCAGTAAAAGTAGTCGACTGTTTACAAACCAGAATACCACTTGAGGAAAGGAAGTAGTAAAACAAAGATGAAAGTAGGCTAACTATAGAAAACTGACTCCTGACTCACGTCCGCTGTTTGAGCGACAAATTCCCAAGAGAGTCTTAATGAGCTGAACCGTGAAGCAGTTACTGTTTGCCTTGATAAAGTTTCTATGTTCAGACGTTGATAAAATAATACTCACCTTGTTTCTGTCTTTCCACGCGTCAAAATGTTTTTAGTAATTATCAACTCTTAAAAAAAGAACAAGTTTAAAGCCCAGTCACATGTCTACCTTTTGCTCATCTATTACCAGGAAGTCGAAGATAGCCCTGTGCTGCGTAGCTTTTGGGTAGGATACGTCTCAGTTCCATTAATTGCCTCCTCCTCTGAGTCCCTCCAACCAGAGATGCGCGGAGATGCAAGGAAATGAAGCAGAGGCGAGAGGAAATATGTTTTAAGAGCTATGATATCCCTGCTGTTTACAGTCTATGGTCCATCCCACCTTAGTGACGATGACATCAGCTGATCATGTTCAGCTGTCAGTCAGCTTTAACAGCTGTTTGTGTCTGCACAAATACGCACTGTGTTATTTCTAATGAAATACAAACACAGTAATAGTGTTTAGTCTCTTTATTTTACCTGATAACACAAACAACCTGCAGTCTGCTTAAAACCATGAGGACAATTTCTACATGCAAAAAGCTTTAATATTGAATTGTCCATTGATGAGGCCTATTTGTGGGCTTTTTTTTTTTTTTTAACTGATAATCCGATAATGAACTCTGTATTTTATAAACACAAATACTTTAAAATGTCCTAGGAACACTAAAAATGATTTATTAGGTTCTGAATTATAGGGAAATCAGAACACATAACATTTTTCCAAACACGAAGATCATTAATGATCTTATATGAAACTTTATTTATGTAAATAATGATTAATGTAAAACGTGTTTCTTTGTCTCTATTTATCTAACAAAGCCCCTTTGCTCCTCAAAACCAACCTCCAGTTTACTGATCGCTTATAAACAAATAACAGATGTTAAAAATGTGAAAGATAGATGCGTGTGCAGTACACTCTTACATCACATGAATGAACGAATACATCTTGTTATTCATAGTTGGTGTACATACCACTGTATACATGTTTGTAGTTTTAAAACTGTATTTGAAAAAGTTAAAATTTGAATATTTTCTTTCTTACAACATCCAACTTTACAACAATGACTGTAAGGACTTGAACTTCTCTGAAGAGATACGGAAACAATCAATATTTAGATGAAAATATATATTTTTTTTTTACTTGTAGGTAAAGGTCGAAACAGGAGTGAATTCTACATCACTGTATTTACTTTACAATTTTAAAGAGACTTCACACTCAACATATTAAAACCACACATACAAATTTGAATGTTTTATTAAAGATTAGAAAACGTTTCAATGAAGCAGACATTTTTAAACACCATCCAAATGTAACAGTATCCTTGTAGGGTAAAAAAGTTATAATTAATATCATGACGTAGCATGGTCCGAATCCCACCAAACTTTCAGCGAGTCTTTAGTTCCCGCTGTTGATTGGGAGCTACACTGATCAGCAGCTTCGTAGGCCGAGTTAGGATTATTACATGGTCATTTAACTTTGATAATTCATAAAATCATAACGACCCAACGTATCGTCACCAAACTCATGGGGTTAATAGATATACATGCCGGGAACATCTAGTAAAACATTCAGAACGGTGTGCACCCTTTGCAAGAAACACACATCTGACTGGCTTAGCGAAACTGGCACCAGCTTTTCATGAGGTAGAGACGAGTCAACGGTACATTTCAGCTCTGTACTCTATTCCCCGACTGTGTTATGATATTATGGTGTTTATGAAAATGTATTTAAAAAAAGACTTGGAAAAACAATCTTTTAGCATTTGGCAGAATTCATATAATTCGGTTTTAATTCACATCAATTAATGAGGTTCAAAAAGGAGAGCTCTTCAATTATAAATTGTGTTCATTATTTTTGCATGATCATCATATTTGCTGAATCTGGTCAAAAGTCAAATAGGAAACCCACATAGAGACATAACATTGCAATGAATATTTCCCAATTATTCATGTATTAAAAACTGGTTTTGGTCTAAAAAAGATTTCACCCCAACATTTAGTGCTTTGTATTGAGGTCGTCAATGAGAAATTTCTCATTTTCCAGAAGGATTTGGTAGAAGATATCTTTGCTAGCAGCACCAGCTTGCAGGCAACCGCAGTAGAGCTCTCTCATCTTCTTCTGAGAGGTCGGCAGAGCTCTGATTGTATCGTAAGCCTCACGCTGGAGGACACCTCTATCGAGGAGCCGATCCAGAATGGGATCCATGTGGCTCACTTTGTCGGTGAGCTGGAGTTTATATTTATCCACAAAGTGTTGGTCTGAGAGAAAGGAGAAAAAAATAGTCAAGGACTGTTTGTAGTTTGAGATAACATAAAGCCAACTTGATAACTTTAGTCTGCAGAAAATAGTTGGCATATTCTAAAAACCCCAAAATAAGCCAACATGGAGGTGCATTAGACATGCATTCTTTGTAATGGCCAGCAGGGGCCGACTTCAAGATCAAGATATCAAGATCAAGATTTACTTTATCTTCCCCAAAGGGAAATCATTTTTGGACTCTGTCCTGCAGTTACAAGAGAGTGAACATACATAAATATAGATCATACAAAACATAAAGCATTTCATGTAACAATTCCATATACATAAAAACACCTTCTTGCAGCAGTAACATTTGGCATATTGCACGGACCCTGGGCACATCCTACATTACCTGTCATTCAGAATATTAACGGACATTGGCACAAATGAATGTTTGTAACTGTTCAGCCGGGTCTGAGGGACCCTGAATCTTCACCCAGAGGGGAAAAGCTGAAACTCAGAGTGAAGAAAGAAGGTAGGATCAGACACTATTTTCTGTGCCTGACTTCACTTGTTGAAAAGAAAGAAAATGTATTGTTTAGAAGTCTCAGAGAAAAGGGTTTCTCTCATTTCTATATTACAAGAGGAGCGATCTTATTCTTAAAGAGTGCTTTAAAAAGTATCATCTGTAATTACTGTTTGTGTGTAGATTACCTTTGATTATCTAGCATTACTTACACTTTCATATCCAACATATATCATAAAGAGAAAAAATACCACACTGTCTGTTTTATTCCAATATTGTGCAGCCCTACTTGTCAGCCAGTGAGCTGTAGATCTGCTGGAAGACAGCTTTTTTTTAGCCATCAAGATGTTTGCCCTTACCTCCAGTCCTGATGCTAATCTAGCTGAAGCCAACTCTACTTATATCATAGTGGTATAAATATTCTCATCTAACCCATAAAAATAATGCACATCTTTTCAACTCGTCAAAATATTCCTTTATACTCATTAGTAGCAATTATCAGCTTTCTGTTTCTTGAGCCTGAACTCTGTTTAGATCAGAAAAGTTTGGCTTGTTTGAAATATCCACCTCTGTGGTGAATTACAAAGTGACCCTTACAGTCAGCTACTGAATGATATGATCCATGACTTCTTTCATGACAGCCTTATACGACGTGTCCTCCTACCATCTGATGTGGTATCTACACCAGTTGCTCCGGCTGAGGGTCTTGCAGCTAAAAACAAAAACAGAGAAAAGGATTGGATTGGTTTTAGACTGTGAAGATATTTCTTTGTTGGCCTTTTTAACCTTTATTGATAGGACAGCTGAAGAGACAGGAAATTTGCAGTCGACATGCATCGCAGGTCTGAGCTTTGGAGTTGAATCTGCAGTCGATTCCTCAAGGACTGTAGCCCATGGGGCGGCCTGCTCCCTCAACTGAGCTAAAGTGTCTTCCAAAGGGTTGTCGGTTTGAACGTTCATTTCTCAATCTCATAAGGTTTGGAGTTCTACTGTTAACGTATTAGTCAGTGAAAATACATCAGTGGATTTCTAAGTTTTGGATGTTCACAGGATTTCTTTTTAAAGGTTTATTGTGGGATTTTTGTGCCTTTATTGTAGAGACAGGACAGTGGAAAGAGTCGGAAATCAGGGAGAGAGAGAGAGTGGGGAATAACATGCGGGAAAGGAGGCAGAGGTCGGATTCAAGCCTTCGACTCTGACTGAAATATCACATGTAATTCTTTACTGAAAATCCTATCCCTCCGTTTCTAAGAGGGAAATGAGAGCTACTGCTTGGAATGGAGGAAATCTCGTGGTGGTTAATCTTTATTATAGACGATCTTTGGTTAGTGGTCAGCGAAAGCAAAAGTAAAAAGGGAGCGGGCTCGTTCAAAAAGGCTACTTTAATTTGTGCTATAAACTATACTATTTCAACTACATATTTTATGATTGCACAAAAAAACATATCAAT